ACATCGATGACTCAAATATTCCACCGGCTTCAAAATCTCTTCGCTGAAGTAGAAGTTCCACAGGAAACTCATTCGTTTGAAATTCAACGGCAGGCGCGCAGACTTGCACATGCGCACATTCATCCTTGTGCCCATATACTCAAAGGCATACACATGCATAAAGGCAGACACTGGGACAACCACACACACCAAATAAACAGCCACTGTGGACAAAGACACTATTGGAGTCAGGGATGATGATCTGGCAGTAGCGCTACCACTCCCTAAAAGAAAAAATACAGCTGAGGTCTGTCTCTGGGTCAGAGAGGGGATAGGCAGTCTATCAAAATACCCACATACCTAGTTCCTTTATTTGCTCAGTATCAATCTCAACATTAACCCTCTACTAATGGGACAGCTGTGGGTCAGTGCCTCACATCTTTGGGATGCCAATCAAGACCTTAAGCTGAGAGATCAGCCTTTGAGACAGAGTTGCTCGTCTGCCTCTGAGTGGCTTTTTAAACACAGAGACGCCTGCATCGATTTTAGCTCTAGCCTGAAAGGGGTGGGGGGGTGGGGTGTATTGCACTCATCAGGGCCTGTGTCTGCTGTGGCTGTCTGTGTGTCTGGACGGGAGCCATCCCCTGGTCCCCGGTCACCCTCCACTGATCAGGGGGCCTGACAGAATGACCTCGCAGAGAGGCACTGAACCTGCAAACATGAAGGGGGCAAGGAGCTGGAAGCTCGAGGGGGTCAGGGCTGGTGGGGGCAACATCAGCAGAGATCTCAGTAATAGAAAAGGGTTTTAACCTTAATGTTGGAGCCAAAACCCTGTTAGAGGCCAAGTAATCCCCCCTGCGCTGCTCTCATTTGAACTAGCTGATTTTTTTTCTCTCTCTTCTCTCTGTGAGTGGCCTGCGAAACAGCACTGACACTGACTTGTGTGGCACAGGTCCGGGAGACAATAAACATGAGCAGAGCTGTCCACCTACTTCACCTGCGCTAAACAGACAGGCAATATAAAGATAATGGTGACTGGGTTTCAACTGTGTATGCATCCTGTACATCATAAAAATGCTACAATTCTACTATACAGATGTGCCGTTAGGGAAGTACTGTGCAGTTTGAGGTACTTCAACTTAACTTCATTTCTATTTTTATGTCACTTTACACATCTACCTCGATGAATTTAAAACATTATTCTTTCATTCCACTGTGTAATCTGATTGCTTTGTTACTACTTACTTTGCAGATTTAGATTCTAAATAAAAAACACAACAGACTTGTATTAGATTAGATTGCAACTAACAAAAGTTGCATCACCTAACCTAATTACAAAATTTAACTATTGCATCCTTCTGTCATCTGTACTTTTACTTTCATTTTAAGGACTTTTCTTCAGTATTACTATGCGGTAACCTACTTTCATTGATGTAAAAGATCTGACTATTTTCCACTACTGCAGATATGTGCTGCACAAGAACCATTTAGACACAAAGGTCAATCGGTGTTAAAACGACTCTGAATATCCAAATTCTTAGCAATGAAGAAAAAAATCCACAATCTTCCTCCACAATCAAAATCCATATATGTTGCCTTGTATCTAACATAAGCACTTAAAAGACTTCAGTCCATGAATTGAGGTATGCATATCTAATCATTTGGCTCAAGTATTTTGAATATCTTCAAAAAAAAAATTAACAGTGAATAGGCTCGGGCACTTCGGGTAAAATATGCTAATTAACACACTTGAAATTTCCCATATGAAATCTATCTGCACCAAGACAATGAGAAAATAATTACAACAGAGGTAGAATTACAATGGCCATTTTAATCAACCCCTACACTAGCATTTCACCCTATTTATACAGTTTTTGATTCCATGACCCACTGGTAAGTAATCACTTGAAAATTACGGTTCAGTTTATAATAGGTCTATGCTTTAGACACATTATTTCTGCAGAGACAGGGCTCTGAGGATTACAATAAAGATATGAATTTTGCATAACAACAATCACCATGCAGTTCCTATAGCTGAAAAAAAACATTCTGGGTTAAAAAGTCTCAAAGTACTTAAGTAACTTTGGAATATACATGAGGCAAAGTGTGACAGTCTGAGAATGTTGATTCAACACTTGGGAAGCAAAAATATTTCAGTGCTGATGATGAAAATGATGATGAAGAGGCACTTGCCCTTTGTTTTATCTTAGTCTAACTCCGCCAACTGTCTGCTATCATAACACTTTATAGTTTTGTATATGAATATTAATTGTTGCACTGTCAAGGAATGTTCTTGCAAGACAGGTGTAAGTATGAGACACTTTCCCATTAAACAATCCCTTTTACTGCATTTATTAGGGGTCACAAATTCACTTCTGAAAGGTCAGTTCTGCACACAGGTAATAACCTTGAAGGTGTGCCACTAAAGAGCCCAATCAGGGATTCACACAAAGGTCAGACTAATGTCTTCCTTTAAAAAAAGAGAGTCATGTTATTTGACCTTCCTTTTTCACTACAGAATTTCCCTGAGATAAAAAAACAGACCTGTTCTTTGGGAAGCTAGTAAGGTCATCTTTATCAACCACAGAAGCATTTAAAAAAAAAAAAAAGTATTTGACAATCCGGTGAATAATGTGACGATTAAACTCCTAAAACTGGTCCTGGGTGGTAGCAATTTATTTCTTGGCAGGGACTGGGAAGCTAAGGCCCTGTTTGCAGGAGATATCAGCTGCTTGAAAACCCAGAACAGTCTCTTGAGGAATGTCTGTCTCTCCCACAAGATTCTCCCTCCTCCCCCAGGATGGCGGAGCCACAGAGGAACCGTTCATTGACAAAGGCCTTAGAGGAGGGGCAGAATTGTACTTCTTTTTCTATAACAAGCCACAGTGGTTGGCAATCCCCTGAGCAACAACACGTTAGCTTTTTTACCAACTATGTGGATTTCTGAAACAACAATTTCAGCTTTTTAGGTCACACGTCTAATGATTAATTTCTGCAACTGTGTGGCAAGATTAAGTTACTCTTGTACACTGTTTGCTGCACTCTCATGCAAATGCATGCTGTGCTGCACGAAGAACAGTTTTAAATTACTATGAAACCACTGCCATGTTTACTTTCCTGTTTTAAAGAGGACCCACTCGTTAAAAAGACAACTTGTCAAAACAATGTTATCATAAATGAAATAGGATCTGTGTTGTTATTACAACATTACAATAGGCTTCCTCTTGTTGTGAAAAGTAACCATCCACATACTGTACACAAGCTTTAAGTCGGACAGCGCAGGGAAAAAACAGCGAGAGCCAGGATGTAGGCGAGCAGATGATTTCTTATTGATTTCCTGTTTCTGTGTTGAAGAGGACTCTCAATTATCCCTGCTAGGGAGCACTCTGATTGGCCACCTTAACAAACAAAATCACAGTGAGATCGCTACGGTCTATGTAACAAAAAGGTTAACTTGAGCTGCACTAAATGTAAGGATTTCCAACTTTGATTTAACCACAAACAGAAATAGGTACATAAAATTTTTACAAAGATTATCACAGCACAAATTTGGGGTTTCATCTTTATTTGACATGACTATTTTAAGAGAAATAGCACAACTCCCTCCCTCTTCAATTCCCGTAGCAGACAGTCTGTGTGTGTGCATATGTGCAAGAGAGGCTGTGTGTGGGTGCTTTTCAGGGTGAAGGAGGGGTTGCCTTCAATTACAACGCAAAACTGTTGTCACAGGGGCTTATCTGCTGAGATGAAAGAAAAGCATGCCTCCCTCCAGAAGTGCAATACTCCACATACCTGCCAAACTAAAAAGACCTCTTGACAGAAAATCTTTTTTTTTTTGTTGTTGTATCTGAATCTCTTTTCTTCGCTGCTTTAGTAAACAAGCCACTGGCAAGTCATTAAACTTAATACAAAAAAAAAGGCAGGAAAAGGCGCCATGGAAAAGTTAACAACCTAGAAACAAAAGAACTGTTGTGTCAAATGCAAACACAATCCTTATTACAGCGAGGCACTTACATGGATGGAAGCAATCAGCTGCTATTAGCCTTTGCTGACACATCTCACTCTTCTTAGAAACAATAAAACACACACTCACACACACACAAAACTTTTAGCCGGTTTCCTTTTGTGACCTGCACTCCGTAGCTCAGTATCAAGTCATTTAACTGAACAAGAGTGCATCTAGACTTAATTAGACCTGCTAATAACTTAGCAGTTCAATGCCTAATAATTGTTTGTAAGACCTCCCTGTATCAGGACATTTGCATAAAACAGTGTGTGATTAAGTCAGAGGTACAATATGGGCTTCCGAAGTTATAAAATCTGATTATAAAATGCAGGAAAAAAGCCAACCATGATTTAAAACATATGTTACTAGTATGGTTACTGGTTACTGGTAGGAATAATATACCTGAAGACACTGTTTAACAGAGAAATGCCTCTAGCAGCTGGTGCAATTCTTGTCCAATAGGTAAATGTTTGGTACGGGGTAAAAACATTGTGGCTAAGATGCAATCAGTGCGTTAAGACAGTAAATGCCAGAACCACAAACAGGATTTCCCCACTTCCACAACACAGGCCTGAGGGTTGGAAGGAGAAGCAAAAACGGAGAAGCGAGCCAAGTTTTGGTCATTATGGCAGAATGAGAGAGCATGCATATTACCACTCACTTGCCAAGAGACCTTGGTGCTATCTTGATACTATTATAATTGGAAACACTGAGGCTAATATTTTAGTTGGCCAACTGACCCTACCTTGTGTGTGCACACTGTGCAACTATCATAACAAGTATTCTTCACAGCTGGAGCATGTTCATAAAAGGATGAAATTATAACCATTTAAATGTTAAATAAAACATTGCTAAACACCTACAACAGTTAAACTCAACCATCTGACTATGCAAGCAGAATATGTTAATCATTTTCACTGTCTCCAATTAAACAGCTCATTGTTGTTTATCATTAAAAATAACACCAAGATATCCTGCTGTCCGCCCACAGCTTTCCCAGGTCGTTAAAACTTACTTCTTACAGGCTCGCAATAATTAGGCTTCTCATCTGTCACGTGACTTTGTCCTTCAGTGGCTGGTTTCCTGGGAGACGGTGTTCTTCCTGATGATTCACTGTCACAAGCATCTAGGGTCACAAGCATTCAATGTTAAACATGGTTGAATAAGGAAAACCTGTTGCACACAAAGTTAAGAAGCAAAATATTATGCTGCGTGGTTACTACTAGAAAGGGCCTCAGTTGTTTAATTTAATGTTATGCTATTATGAGCGCAACTGTTCTAAATTAACATGTATTACAGCCATTTCTCCACAAACAGATGTAAACTTTTACTGCAGGGTCAGCCACAGTGGACAGAATATCAGGGACAGCTGGACGAGCCAGAGGTGCAGAGGTCACTCTGCCTATTTTTGCCAGAAAAAACACAGGCCGCTGGCAAATGGTTGCACAACATGGTGGGGCGCTTCAGGTAAAGGCCTTGCCAGAGCTCTGGATCTCATTTTCTCTCCCTCTGCTCCCGGGTGTGCTCTACCTGCCAAGCTTCATTTTACTGCCATAAAGGCTGCATTCATCTAAATCGGAAAAAGTATGTGGGCAAAAACTCTAGGCCTGATAGCTGCGCAAAAACACAAGAGACAGTTTCACTCATCTCTCTGCGCCACTCTAAGCCATGTCTTCAGTCTTCTTGACTTCAAGACTTGCTGACGCTTTGCTCATTGCACACTGCTGCTTTGTTCAGTAAATAAACCTTCCACAATGACTTTATTCACTGGTTTGGTGCCAGATGCCTGCTCATAGCCCAGTGTTTCTCTAAGCCTTTAAGTTTTCAGTAACATACTGTTTTCTTGAGCCACTTTTTTGTGTCACCTTCAAGAAAAAACAGCTAAGAATGATTCAGCAAAAACTAACAATCATGTTTACCAAAGCTTGATGTGTTTGTTCCAGTTCTACAACACTCTCTGTCTGTGAGCAGTAATGGATGGAGGAGTGGAACGGATGGCCGCCGGCCAGCAGTTCTAGATAGATATGGCACATATCTCAACTTGGAGCTGATGTATGGTAACGGCAGTTGCGTTAGCAGCAGTACTCTGTGATGCATCGCAGTATTTAGTGATCACAGTTAGAAATAAATTGGTCTATTCTCAGTACATCCACAGTCCCCTGAGAGGGGAAATTCAGTCTTTACTGCAAGCGCCTTTGAAGGTCCAGCGAAAATCCATTCGCAATCCAGCAGCCCCAGTGATTGCTTACTTTGTCCTACTTTGCTATTTTTTGACAGTGCCATAATGATGCTTGGTATAAATAGGATGGTTAACGGTTCATTGCTTGTTTGAAGGAAAATGAAAAGGGGGTGTGGGGGTAAGCTTATTTTACATGTGATAATCTTAGGGGCAACTAGAAAGTTAATTAAAAACTATAATTGGCTGTGGTTGCTGTTAATAGTCACCAGGGCGTTTCTTCAGACTTTATTGAGGAAAAAAGCAAAAACATTATCAAGGCTTAACATGGGAGCACAGATACTGATGTATACTAAAAGTCACATGAATATAATTTAACAAGACAAGGCTGATATTGTCCCAAGCACACTGATAAATGCTGATATGTACCAGTAATCTGTTAATGCATTCATTGACTCACTCTCTGTATTTCCTTTTTAGACAGTTTCTCTCATGTTTGACCAGGCAAGCAACAAGAGGTCTTGACAGAATATGTCACTGATATTTATAGCTCATTTTAATTTGTAGTGCACTGGCAGCTTGGAGGAAAAAAAAACTCCATCAACATTCACAAGAGAGAACTTCATGTACACATGAGCCGTGCATCATACAGCAGGGATTCCTAAATGTTTGCATGTCACAGGGCGTTTAAATAGACACACTTACTGTATGGTTTGTGGACCACAAGCATTTGGGTGGCAGACCCAATGAAAGCAGAGTTATGTTGTTAAATATGAACCAGTACATATCTGGACATATTTACACTTTGGTGGTAATTTTCCCTGACTATCCTACCAATCAAATACTGGTTACATTACTACATGCTGCAGGACCTCAGGGAACCCTCTTCAGGCACCCAAAGAACCCTAGACTCACTTTTTGTGACCTAAATTAAATTTTGTTTTTCCCATGCTATTCATGTCTGGCCTGTCATGTGTGCCCTTACCGTGTGAGTCTGACAGCAGGGGATTTGTCTCTTGCTGGGGGCCCTTGCCTGGCCCTGCCGGCTCATCCGGAGGAAGGACGGTCTCCTTGGACATGAGACAGTCGTCTTTTTGGGACACACACGGCAGAAGAAGTTCCTCCCTTTCCCTCAGCCTTCAGCGCTGTGAAAACCAATGTCTCATCATCAGCACAGGCTTGAAGACACGAAGCAACACCGTGCGGGTCATTACTCAACTTGAGAAAGTCGTCTGCTTATTCACACACCGACAAAGTGACGTCGAGCTCCAGTAAAACTTAGTGGAAATTTCCCTTCTCTCGCTTTTTACATAAACTTGTTGAAAGAGTCCATGTGCAGTCCATTTGTTCACACACTCCCTTTTCTTTATCAAAAAGCGACGGACGCTTGCTAAGTGCTGTTTATAGCTAGAGCGGACATATTGTTTATAAAGCATAACTTACCTTTCAAACATGACAACTCCCTTGCTTCAAATCTGACTTATTTCCATCCTTCCTTCCTCCAACTCTTTCCCCGGGACGGTGGGAAGAAAAACAAGAAACTGGGTGAAAGAGTAACTTCGCGTCCACAAACCTAACTTAACGTAACTTCAGTAGCCAGTTTGTCCCAGTCCTACTTAGTCCAGCGGTTGTTGACGTATAAAAAAATATCAATAATAACGTTCGCGACGCCTCCGACGTTGAGTGGCGGTAGTTTTCTGAGGATAGTTGCGTCTAAAACATTTTCATCATATCCGGATTCCTGCACTACAGCCAGTGAAGCCACTCTTCACTCACTTTGCTTCCCTTGGCGGCAGAGAAGTGAACAAAGCCCTCCCTAAACATGTGTTCCTCAAAAATAAAGTTAGGGAAACTTTAAAATAAAGTAAAATAAAATATACCGGAGCTTTTTAATCTACTTTTCTGTGTTTTAAAATGTGTGAAAATTAGTATAAAGTTTTGAAATATCTGTCAAATATATTTAGTGTGCCCTACATTGGCACTTAAACATTACATAAAAACTCTGAAACTTACTTTGAAGTTTATAACTTCTCATGGCCGAGTTGCTCCGTTGTCATGGTGATCATTATGATTTTTTTTTTTTTTTTTAATGCCTATACCTGTTTTCAGGGAGGTCACTAACGAACCTAGTAGTGTTAAAGTTGCACATGAATTTTTAAAAAGTGAAAGTGTAGCTGGATTTTTTTTTATTATTTTTTTTTATTCAGTGGCATAATATAATATGTTTTTGAACACTTTACACTTATACAGAATAAGTCAGCAACATCGAATAAAGCAGTCATTAGTGATCAATCAAAATGTCATTCAATTAAACCTTATGTTTCTAAAGGCTTTTACTGCCTAACGATTGTTCATTTAAAAGTTGCAATATGATTTAGTAACCCTGGGAACAATAGGTCCTCTATGACAGCTCAAAAAAACATATAGGCCTATGACAGTTTCAGCAGCTTGATACTTGATGAGTTTTGCTAATTTTCTTAGAATGTGTTATGAACATAATTTTGAACCGATGATGTTCACAAGCTCATTACAGAGAATGTCAAATTAATTCTGTTTTGGAGGTCTCAGAGACCCCAGCTGTGAACACAGTTAAATACAATGGGTTTTCATACGCTCCATATATGTGACTGGTGTTGACAGTAGCACTACCCCTCTTCAACCCCAAATACATTAGGTCTATTAGAATTTCTGGTACTCTACAGTTCTACAACAGTTTGTCTATGAAGGGTTTGAGGTAGGGGGTGGAAGTTAAACTCCTCTGGGGTTTGATTGACCCCAAACACAAGTGAGGTCACTCTGTGGGATTATATACTGTACATACATTTCTTTTAGCAAAAAAAAAAAACAAAACCAAAAACTGTTTTAGTAGCCAATCTAACATATAAAACATGAACCATTTCCTCATTTGGTGTAATCACAATGTTTTATGATCATTAACATGTTTTGTCAGCTTCATCAAATGGCCAGCCCCGGTTGTGGAATACTGTGTGGGACCCCAAACAATAGGGACATTCAGCCAATTCCAACAAAACAAAAGGTTTAAACTGTAATTTTTCTCCGATGAGAACTGTGCTTCATTGAAATCCCCAGTATCTGAAGTATTTTTTGTTGGATACTTGTTAACCTCAGTCACAAACTCAGCCCCTAGTTAACCTTATCTCCATGAAGAATATGAATAAATTTGCTGCAGGAAGTCAGCTGGAAAGTTAGCCAACATGAGTTAAAAGTTTGAAAAACTATATACAGTACATACAAGAGAAATAAAATCTCAAAAACCTCTTTGGTGCCAACATCATCTTTTACTTTTCTCCATTTCAATTCATATATAATTCACTTTAAATAAATGGCAATGAAGCCGCATGCTGTGTCCTCTGTGTAGTCAGTAGGGTGTTGTTAGTGCAGCGTCTTGCTGATTGCCATCATAGGCATTGAACCCTATTGGTAACAGTATAAGTGAGATTTAAGCCTTGGTAACATGAGAGTGTGGAGGTGATTGATGTGAAATATGCCCTCCCTCATTGACTGGCTGAACTCCATTTTCTGCTCCTAATGCAGAAATCACTCCGGGTCCCCGGCATAATGATTTACGATGAATCTGTGTCAATGTTGAACTCGGCAAACCCCACGTAATCCATCTTGCAGATATACCTACCTACCCCGCCCCACCTTGCCTGCTCTCACCCGCCCGTTCCCTGCGTTGGCAATGGGAAGGTAAGGAATGCAGCTCTCTCTCTCTCGTCTATAAGTGTTGAATCCATTACAGGGCTGATGTGTAATCACAGAGGACCTCTGTGCCCCCTCAGACTGTAATTACTTGGATACAGATACTCCCTCACTCCATCCCCTAGAGCTGCTCAAAGCCAAGAACTCCGTTAACCAGCATGCAGTGCTTTCAGCTTGCCTATCTGGGTGGCAATGTGGAGATATATTTGAGAGATGGGGCTTGTAAGAAAAAATCATGGGTAAAATTGCATTTAAGTAATGGGATTTTGACCTTGCAGTGTGTAATGGCCACAGTTCACCTCGGAGATTGAATCCCACACAGAGCAAATCAAAGTCTGCACCTCGAAAAAACTGACTGCGAGGTCCTCCCCACATATGGAAATCATTTGAGGACTGTACATGCAACATGACTGCACCGTGAAATCAACCCCCGTCGTCTGTCTTTGTCTCTCTTACACAGTGACACCGCTGTTGCTGCTGACAAACATTATCTTGTGTGTGATCATGTGCATAGTGTCATCTCCCTCGCCCGACTCCCTCCCTCCACCTTCAAAATAAGTCAAAGTGGAGGCGGCTGTGTAGACACAGTAGGCTGTCACACTGTGTCAAGCGTCGGTGTCAGTGTTGCATCTGTTGCAGTCACATCTCAGAAGACACAAGGAAACGTCTCTCTGTTGACTTCATCTGTTTGTTTGGCAGCTTGCCTGATTGCTGGAGTGTGTAGTGGTGAAGAGAAGCGCTGGCTCAGTCGGTGCACACGCTGCCGACAAGCCTAATCCTCCTTCGCTGGGAAAAGAGGGAATCTGGCCCCAAACAAACATGCATCTATGTGTATGGCTTTCCCCAGCACACACACAAACTCCAAAAACACTCCCACTGCAAGCTCCCGTGTCTTTCATCTCCCACACTACAGTAGGCAAGGCATTGTGGGTCTCTGCTGCTTTTCTTGAATACATTTTATGAGAAAAATGCTTTAAAGAAATTATTTGACTTTTTTGGGAAATATGTTTATCACCTCTCTTGACAAGAGCTACATGAGAAGATTGATTGCAATCTCACAACTCTTGTAGCTAGACCCAGCAATCAGTTTTAGCTTAGTATAGTATAAGGCTGTAAAGGGGAAGAAACAACCAGTCTGACTGTGTGAAGGTAGCAAAATCTGGCCTCAGCTATATTAATAGTACAGACATGAGAGTGGTATCGAACCTCTTGCCAAACTTTGCAAGAAAGTGAATATTTCCCAAACTGTTGTGCTCCTCCTTTAACACAATGATAATGGCGTGTTTGCATTGTGAGTGTTTCGTTTGCTGGCACAACCCGTATCATTAACTGTGAGGCTCCCCTCTTATCACGAGCTGAGTAAAACTTTTGCAGAAACTGATCTGAAAAGCAGAGAATGGCTGTAGGACAGAACATCTGTAATCATCCCTAATGAGCTTATTCCTCAGCAGACTGCCATTCTAATAGAAATGCAGAAGTTGGCCCGCGCTGGCCTTTGCGTCGACTTTAATGGCCAGGCGAAACGGTTGAGGTGCCGTTTTAAACAGCAGAAACCGGCACCTGTACCTGATCAAATCTTCAAAGATTTTACACACAACGCCATGCAGAATGAGAAGTTAATAAGTAAGGCTTTTTCAAGATGACCGTGACACCAGCTGAACCCTGACGCCCTCACATGATTAATAGCATTATGGTAAGTCCTTTTTTTTTTTTTCCAAGTAAAGGATTGTTTGAGGCTGTCTGATCAAAACTTTCAACCTTTTATTGGCCCAACTGTCAAAGGAGGCAGACTTTGTGTTTGGCAGTTTGAGTCATTCTGTCTGGATGGGGAATGGACATGAATAGGGCATGAATTGACGGACTCATTAAAGAAAAATCTCTCTATGATCAGACTGAGGCTCGTTATTGCAAATGATTAGTGTTTCAATGTAAACAAACACCATATTCCTCAAGGAACAGGGATGCTGGGAGCTGAATAATGACTTTTAGCTTGTATAACTGTACATCTGGACTCCAAGTTTGGATTGAGAAGAGTGCACATAATCAGTTACAAATGTTCACACAAAAGCACCAGACTTCATAAATATGTATCGCTCGGATGAAAAAAAAAAATGAAAAAAAGTGAATAGCAGGTGATCGGCGATTAATTCTGACGTTAAAAACATGAGCCCACTCGACAGGTTATCACAATAACTTGGGCCAGGCGATGCAAGATCCACATGTAAAGAGGACACCTGCACCGCAGCTTTAGAGAGGATTCAAAATGGCATCCGCCGGCTCCTGGAAGAATATGAGATCAAAGTTACCACCCATCTGTGATTAATTTAACTTTATTGACAATCATCCAAAGCCACGGTGACAGCAACTGTGTTTGACCCATCATTCAGGCTCATTGCTCTGCCATATGCTGATGTTTTGATGATATGTGGAAACCAGAAAAAGGTGGAATCCGGTTTAAAACTTTAAATCTAAATGCAGAGACCACTTGATATGAGGAGCACAAATACTCACACCGATATACTCACACCGATACACTCACATGTCGGCGCCATATTCGTCTCTTATAAGTCACCTCTTAGCTTCTTGATCATCACAACATATGGAACGAGCACATCTTACATGATGACATTGCGACATGCAACTTTACACCACATACGTGCCATTCAGGCTCAGAGACGCTGACTTATTAGACCATATTGTGACAATTGATGCAATGTTACAAGTTCGTGACAGAGGTGACTTGTAGCTGCTTATGTGATCTGAACCTTCAGGCACACACTTAGTGAGAAATGCTCATGATCACTGCAACTGTGAATTAGGAGCAGCAGCTTAATGCTTGAATGAAACCGTCATTAATCAAATTTTTCAGATGCTATTGCGTGCATTTCTAACAAGTGAATGAATTTAATATATCTAAATGTTGGATTTTTACTCCTTAAAGTTTTGTCTCTGTCTTCTTTGTCCTTTGCTGCCTTTGTTGTCCAACATGGAATGATAATCAAAA